GACTGTCATAAAAAGATAGAAATGAAAATATCTGGCTTGCTTTCTATAAGAGAGAGAGAGAGACAGACAGAGAAACATGCGACGCCGCACAGCTTACAATAGCTTACTATAGCAAAAAGTGTCGTGACCAATTTTCGTAAGATTTTTTTCCGTCTAGCCCCCTTTCACAACGCGCGATAAGGAACTTCGTTCCAATAGATTTCTTTTTTCGTCTTGAGTAGTCCTCATCCATCCGCCTGCCAGCAGTGGCTTTAAGTCGTCGGTACTCTAAAATAAATTTATCATTATTAAAAATGTATAGTTCGTTAACATTCACGTAGTGGCTTCTCCGATCAAAGAAATCTGGCTTCTTCGAGCTACTGCAGTTTCGAGCATGTTTTCCCATCATAGACTAGCGGTATTCCTTACCTTAGCTCTTTCGTCCTATCCTTTTCACCAATTTTCATTTTTTATCTGTCCCGTCAGATATTACGTACGTCAAATATTACATAGTCAAGGAGGCAAGCAGGCGACTGGGCATTAGAGAAACTACCCCCTTACAATATTACACATTGTGCCGACCTCTAATAAGATTGGGCAAAGTATGGGAATATGGTGATGATAATCATAGTATTAAATACGTATTAAGGCCGTTATATTAACTTAAATGTACTCTTTCTGTCTGATTTTATTTATGCAATAAATATTTAATGCATATTAAAATCCTTACGGAAAAAGAAAAGAAATATGTTATACATTACTACACATAAAATAACTTGTTAACAACATTCATTATGATTAGATTACATACCTACCTAATATATTATGTTTTAAATAAAAAACAATGTATTATTATAATATTACAATGTACGATGATAAAAAATGAAAATATAGTATAATATGTCCGTATTTACAAAAAAAAGTATAAAAGTAGTCTATCAGTCAATCTACTCGTAGCTTTCAGCTTTCAGTAAGAGCCGACTGAGGGAACAAACTACGTAGGACAACAGCACTGCAAAGAGAAGGAAAACTTGACACAATCCCTTTACCACCCGTCTAGCCAGCAGTGTGGTATAGAAGGCCACGACCTTTCTAAGGAGAGACCTATGTCCAGAAGTGTAGTGTATTAGAGGCTGTTGATGATGATTGATAAATCTAGCTTTTATAGTGTAAACTATGCTTAGTTTTAAAGTAGATGGCGTTGTGTTAAATATGTACAAATATTTATAGTTATATTTTTATTACACATTGCAATAAAATTATAATTTTCATTAAAGTAGGTATTTATCTGTACTGTGGGTAATAATAGCCTTACTAGCTTTTAGGCAACTAGGAACGCTATTGGGTAATGAACAAAGAACAATGGCGGGTCTCCATTCAAAAAAATATTTGGAACCAAATTGCATCGTCTTGTAGTGAAAACTATATAAAAAATCGGCTATTTCTTTAGAATCTGTGTGTAAAAAATATTTTTTGGGAAAGGTCAAGAAAAAAGATTTTAGCATATCATTTTTTTTAGTTACGCACCGCATTTATTTTATCTGTGGACTCTTTTTAAAAGAGTTTACAGATAAAAGTCTTTTATGACATAGCTACATAATGTTTGCTCTAATTTGTCTATGGCTATCGACCTTTCAAATTAGTTTTTGTATTGTTTTACATAATTATTTGCAAATTATAACTGTATGTATGCCATTTAAATAAAACAAAAAAAAAATGATAATAAATAATTATTATAGTCCACTAGCTGTAGAACCTTCGTAGGTTATATTTTCTGTCACTTTTAATGTGTCTGATGCATAAAATAATCATCTTATACTTATGAACATCTGCATATATAATATCCCATAAGTATATTCCTTTTCCTTAATTTATTACCTATTTCAACATGTAAAGAATTGTACATTTTAAACCTACACTAATATAATCGCGTTAAACGTTTAATCTTTATATTTAAACGCAAACGTCTGTCAAGAGTTGTCAAAAACCTTTGCTTTCTTTAGCATACAGTTGCCACTTAATTTATTTTTACTTCCTTATATTCCACAACAAGATTTTCAAATACGTAAATAATGCGTTTAATAATGCACCACAAACTATATTCTTAATTGATTCAGTACTTAAAATTATAAAACTATAATTTTAAGTACTGAATCATTAAATTTAAATTAAATTGGACATTATTTCCACCACTTGAAAAAAATGGCTGTAAAATGGTAACACTAAACTGATAAAGGTAATTAAAATAATCAAATAAGCTTATAATATTTTTCTTTATTTTCCTGGGGTTTTACTGACTTAGGCGATAGTTTCAAAACACGTAGATATTTACTAGAATTCGTTTCTTATGAATGATATTTTAAAACACTCAAATTATACTCAACTACGAATTCGCCATTGTTCTTTATCAAACACAAAAAAAATAACAAATTTATTATATATATACTTATAGAATTATGAGCTGTCATGAGATCTAGAAGGGCTTTAATGGTTAAGTTATGCCTGTTTATTGGTTTTAATGTCATTCTTATTTGTCTTGAAATTTGTTTATAGAGGCCTCTTGGCGGCATCGCTAGGTTGAGTCTTGTGGTTATCTGTTTTGTATTCTATTGTTTCGGTTTTCCTTAAACTTCAAGTTTCATGTTGAGGTTCGTTGAAAGTACATATATGTAATATGTACCTATATCTAAAGGGTCGATTTAACTGGTTTTATGGTTTTGGTAAATCTATTATTTTTGCCGAAGTTTAAAAAAAATAATAACCTAAATAGTTACCTATATAATTAATATTATTTAACGGGAATTAACGCGATCTCTTATTTAGGGTATTACATACCTCTGGTTTGCCTGACGTTTCGACCAGGTTGCACCGGCCGTGGTCACAGGCTGACTGGCTCATCGGCGCACGCCCTCCGTCGTCGAATCCGTGAAGTAGAAGGCTCTTCATCTACCCGCACATTTTCGATATTATTTTTGTGTCGCCATGTACCGTCACATACCACACTAACAGTGTCCCTATTCTGTAAGCAAACCGATGAGTCCCTATTCTGGTGTTTAACCGATTGCGCAGAAAAGCGAGGTGGTATGTTTTTTAACACTGGATTCCACGCTGTAGATAATTTAAAACCATCTTCCCGATTGAAAGTTTTATGCTTTTTAATCTCAATCGCTTCACGTACAACTCTTGAGTAAAAGTGACGTTCGGTGGAGAGGACTTGCGTGCGGTGAAATTCAATCCAGTGGTTGATGCCTGCATCGAGTGCATGTTCTGCAATCGCTGATTTGCTCGTCTGTCGGTTCTTCACAGCAGCGATATGCTCTTTGACCCTTTCTGCAATAGTCCGCTTAGTTTGGCCTATGTATGAGCTTCCGCAGCTGCAGTCTATTTTATAAACACCCGGAGTTTGTAGTGGCAATGTATCCTTCGGTGTGCCGACGATGTTGTGAACCTTTATGCCTGGTGTGTATACTGTCGGAATGGAATATTTCTTTAGTACAGACCCGATCTTGTCCGTAACTCCCTTGACATAAGGCATATAGGCCGGTTGCCTGTTCACTTCTGGATACTTGCGTCTTATTTTCGGTTGCTTCCGTCCTCCTTCCACTCGATATCCGTTACCTTTGAGTACCTCCTGAACATGTTTTAGCTCCTGTTCTAAATGTTCAGGGTCACAGAGATCGTAAGCTCTGTTTTTGAGTGAAGTCATAACAGATTGCAAGTGCCGGGGGTGATGATGAGACGTGGCGTGTAGGTATCTGTCCGTATGGGTAGGTTTACGGTACACACAGTGTGACAAGGACCCATCCGATCTCACGGCTACTTTAACATCTAAGAAGGACAACGACCTGTCCGTCTCCATTTCATATGTAAACCTCATTTTTGGGTGAATAGAGTTCAGATGTTGTATATATTGATCCACTTCTTGTTTGTTTCCTTTGACGATACTGAAAATGTCATCCACGTATCGCTTCCATAGCTTAACGGTATTCGGGCCGAGATTTAAAGCCTTCTCTTCAAAATGTTCCATCCAGATGTTGGCCAGTACTGGGGCTACAGGACTTCCCATCATAAATAAGAGATCGCGTTAATTCCCGTTAAATAATATTAATTATCATGGAACGCGAAAGTTTAAAAGTTAGTATAGTTACCTATATAGTTTTTAAAAGTTTAAAAACATAAAATTATAGTAGGCGAGCTATACAGTTCCTTGTGATCGTAGCTGCAAGTGCTGCAGCTACGAGCCCAGGGAACTGGAAATAAATTACACAAGGTAAGCAAGCACAAACAGTTAAAGGTACTTCTAAGTTTAAAACAAGTCAAGGTAGTAGGCAGGATTACTCTCATATCTTTACTGACACTCACAACATGGAGACAAATCAATTAAAGCAAGAAACCTCAAAACCGGCCTACACATTTTATTCCTACAGCAGCGCCACAAAGAAACAATTATATTTGGAAACATAAAAATATATTACCTATGTAGGTTCATATTATTTGTACGGACTGGTTAACACATTACCCTCCTCTGCTTCATGGAGTAGGAGTATAAATTACTCTCGAATATGAAAATTGCAGGTTTTATACCAAAAACGTAAGTTATTGGACTTATTGATAAAGACAAACTGTTACGTGTATTAAGTCATCAAAATCAGGAGTTGTCTTGAATGACTTGATGACAGTACATCACTAAATAAACTTATCGTTTTAGTGACGATTATATGGATATTTAATATAATATTTCTTGTCATTGGAGCTACAACGATTGCAGAAAGATTAGGCAGACGCAAAGCCGTTGAACGTTGCGCGGAATATATGTGCGTCGATCTGTTCGTTTCGTGCCCGGCGACTTGATTATTATGTGAGGGAGCGAGTGCGAGGCACTGACTGGCGGCGCGCCGGCCCGCACTCACTACTACCAGACCAGTGTTTGTAAGATCGCAGCTGTAGACAGCCTCTCGCAGTGCCGCGCTCGTTCACCTGTCCCAGTAAAAAATAGCCTTTTCTTTGGCGCGAAAATCACGATGTCTGCTACAGAAGAACTCAGTGGTATTCTTACTAGAAGACAAGAGATCAACGAAAAGCTTGAAGAGGGCCTAGAGGTTAAACCGAAATATAAGTTCGTAAACGTTTATACCGAATTTCACGAGTTCTCCAGGAAGGAAATAAAACAATACGAGGAGACCTTCAACAAGTAAGTTTTTTATTATTTTATTCAACTCGATCGAAAGGGATCGGGTAGAACCACATCTTCGCAGAAAGTTGTATTACGGCCAGTGTCATGTTTTTACTTTACGTAGGTATAATGAATAAAATGTTTCAAAACCTAAGCTCAGCTTTTGAATTAGTCGCAATTTAAGTAGAAATTTGTGTATAAAATATTATTATACGATGTGGAGCATGCGATAAATCTAGGACTATCGAAAAATATAATGATAGACGTGCTTTAAACAAAGGCGGAAAGGTCAAAAGTCACACAATATGAACGTAGGATAGAAATAAGTAGGTAGGTAACTTAGATTAACTTTACTAAAACAGTCACATTAAAGGAATCGGTCAATAGCTTTTAATATTTAGATTTGAGAGTATTTAGTGAGTTTCCGGGCTTTAAAATACTTATTTTTTTTTAAACTTGATCATCCTCTAAATTTTTTTTTGCATAAACTGGACTTAAATCACTCTATTACTGTATTTAACTAAGATTAAACTAGCAAATGTTATTCTACCTACATAGAGAAAAGTTTTTACCTTCAATAACAAACACAGGGCCATAATAGCCGCTAACCTTTATAATCTTTATATCAGTTAAGTATTTATTCAGACGTGTTGTTAGAGCTCCGTATGAATTTAAGTTATATAATTTTATATAAACTAGACACATTTATTCGTAAAACTTGATTGCAAAATGTGAATATATTACAAAATAAAATTATGCTCAAAACAAGATTTTTAAAGCTATTTTTACAATTGTTTGCTTAAATAGTTACCAGAAACTGTAAAGGCAGTTTTAAATTAAACTTTTACCTTATATTATTATTAATCTAAGACTTTTACATACATTAATTGTAATTTACAGTTGTCGCAATATCGTTAATTAATTTAAATAGTAGATGTGGTATACCGTCATACCTATCCACTTTTTAAGTAGGTAAGGGCTTTATAATAGTGTAAATATTACTTCTATTTAACAGACACATTTTCGGCAATGATGAATAAAGATGAGGTTTGAATGTAATTCTTCAATAGTACTATATTACAGTTTTTAAGACACCCGCACACAAATAAAACCGTACCAATTGCTATTTGACAGTCGTTAAATATTTATGACTCACAATATTATTTTGATAACAACGTGAAGCTAAATTGAAAGTAGGTAAAACAATTAAATTTACTTATTTAAATAGAGTTCAAATTTAAGCGTAAGATTAGTTAAAAGAGTAATTTATTAGGTGAAATGACAACGCACCGGCGTCGTGGGAGACAAAAATGAATAGGAGTCACGTCATGTTTACGACAATTATAATTTAGATTATAATAATAGCGGACTTTCATTGAACCAACTAGGTAATGAAATAATATTTCAAATTGCATGTTCACACGGGGTTCATAGGCGAGGTTAATAGATTTATTACTTAGAACTACTTATTGCTTTTGATAATACCATATTATAATTGTAATGCGTGAAAGGGTTATTTCATGACATAGCTTTTGCCGTTAACTTTGCTCGCATAAAACTATTTTTCCATATTTTTCAATACTTTTCATCTCGATTATGGGATTTATGGGTTGTAGGTAACCATGGCAATGCATGTGCAAAATTTCATGATGGAAAAAACATAAAAACGTTTAAGTAAATATTGATTATTTTATAAACTCTCGGACTATGTACCGATTGCGTCGTATTTATAGTTTTGCTCGGATAAAAATATTTGTAAAGGAAGCGGATGTCAGTTTATGGTATCTACATATTAAATAAAGTTCGAATGACAGGAACCGCCCGCATGTCCACTCACTTATCTATGAGACATTTACTAATCATAAATTATACTTATTATTACTATAAACATTGTAAACAATCGACTTACTGTCTGTACAATGTTTGTCACTAACAATTACTAGTCATTGATATTGTTAAAACAAAATCATGGACAGAATAAAACGAAAACAATATCCGATTGTTTTAAATTCCTATTAAAGTTTTGAGTCATGTAGTGATGTTTATTATAGACTGTGATATCATATAATGAAAAAAGTATTTAAAAATCTTTTTACTTAAAATTACCTACATAAATAGACGTCATTTAGAGCGTAAGAGATACGATTAAATAAAACAAATTTAACATTGAAATCCACTGTTTCGGTACAACAAATATTTATGTTATGACCTTGGATATTTACTAACGGGTATTATTATAATATTTGAATTCATCGAAATATATACTCTAGATCTCTTATGTGTGTATGAATAATTGCCATGACATTTGTTCTTATTGGTAGAAGATTGCAAGAATGAAGATATGAATTTTACGGTTGTTGGTTACAAAAAGATACCACTTTATAATAACTAGCTGTATTTCAGACCACTGAGGTTTATAGTACACTATGTACACTATTTTGTATGTACTACACTATGTACGGTTTTTATGAACACTCACACTATCACCATCCAGACTTCTTATATACCTATTACATTAGTAATAGATATAGTATTATTCGCTTATAGTAGTAAGAAGTCCGATCCAGGTGGATGTACTAATCTTCTTTCTCTTACTATATTTTTCCACGAAACAGAATGATTACAGGTTGAATTAGTCACATTTAGTTGCAAAACGAAGCTGATAAAACGAAGGGACAACAATGACTCAACTTATGTATGTACCGCGTGCATGACCTACGGACTACTAATACCATGCTAATATTTACTAACTTACGACAGATGACCTCAAGAACACAACTGTTACTACCGTTATTCTGATTAGAATTAAGTCACTTTGTTTAATATTATTTGTCAAATTTATAAAGGCTTCTATTTCACTTTTAATTTTGTAAACAGTTTGTGAATTGAGTAAAGCAAATTTGGGATCTCAACATTCAAGATTGTTAGTCTCTTTTTTTTAAATTATATTTCTAGTTATTAAACATAAAAACAATTCCTAATAAATTATTAACTAAAACAAAGACATGAATATAAAATCAATGTTATCAGTCGTGTCGTGAGTCATTCATAAATATGTCGATTGCACCCTTTAGACCGTTTATTATTCGCTTCCGTTTAAAATATTAATCAATGAACCAACATGTAGTAGGTCATTAAGGCGATGAATCAAATCGTGAGTAAATATTGACTTACAGACGATTATGTACCTACACTACCTACTTCTCAGGAAACTGAGACAGGTGGTCGACTTCCTACTATGACTATACAATCTCGTAATACTTTCCTATATGTCGAGTTTGTGATTCCTACTAAATGAGTAAAACGTTGCTCACTTCCAGTTCCGAATTAAAGTGTTTAATGTTAGACACGTTTGTTGCTATTATATTGAATGAGAGATAAAAAACACTGAAGTGATGTGACAGAAAGTAAAAATATTATACTTATACCTAAAATAGCTTCAATGCCAAAATCCTTTCCCAATTTGCTAACCAAACTGATATCTATTTGGATACTTCACTTTCGTAGACCTTGAAATCAAATAAACTTAAATTTGTGAGCTTTTTATTTGGAGTTTAACACACAATTTTAATGTTTTACTATAAATACGTACAAACTATGAGAAAATCGAATGTTGACGAAATCTGCCGTTCGTGCTATGAATCCGTAAATAAAATTTTGTGTAATGTACAAATCACATTTAAATATTAAGCAAATGATAATAATCATTGATTATTAGAAGTTCTCTATGATGATGATTATAATTATGTTACCTACATACGTCTCAATTAATAAAAATGTCTTTATTATGTGTCAACATTTTTAACACAAAAAAAAACTGTCAAATTAAAATCGATGTTGTCTGCTTCCGGGCGGGTATGGACTCGACACAGAAGAGTATTATATAAGTAAGAAATAAACATAGTCCATAGTAAAATTACATCATGTTGTCGGAACGTGAATCCTAAATGAATCCTAAATAACAGAAAATGGTCCAATATACCTACCTACTCGGTATATTTATACTATGTACATTCGTTTATTTTTCTTGTTGTTTTTAGACAGTTGCTTGATAACATAACCACCATTTTTTTGTCTGATTAAAATTTAAAAAAAACAATTGTCATTTGATTTAATTATTAAAAAATATTGCGTCCTATTTTTGACGTAGTCAAAGATCAGTTATTTCTAAAGGCTTTTTATAAATAATTATATATTAGGTAAGTACTCAAGATTAAAACTTGACGAATGAACCAAGGATAGATTATACGCACTAAGTAGATTCGCCACTTGAGTCTTTTGCGGCATTAATTAATCAATTATAATTTACTTAGGTATAATATATATATATTAAACGTGAATAATAATATAATTTATTAAACAAAGTGTGGTGTCTACACTAAATTGCAATTCCTTGCATTCCATCCATTTTCAGGATAAAAGTACCTCAAGACCAAATTTTATTAAAATTGGTTTATTCGATTGAACGTGAAGAAGTACTACTTACATAACAAACAGTACAAAGACTCACAAACTTTCGCCTTTAGTTTTTATTAGTGTGATAAAACTAAACAATCTTTACGCAGTTTAAGTTGAGACCATCGTCTATGGACACCAATGATATTATGTATTTTTGTACCTACATATCATTGATGAACACTTACAACTTTCATCATCAGGGAGGAGAATCGTCACTCTCATATCACCTTATAACACTGTTCTATTTCTCTTATCACGGTCACAATACTAAAGAGTTTGATAAAAGCTTTAGTGAAAATCGTTTTGAGCCTCGTTAGAATTTTTTTGTTGATAATTGAAATAAAAAATTATAATATGATAATTAATTGATTTAGCTTTATTGCGAGACATTTTCAATATCTACTAATTTCATCCTTGTTACAATACCTAAATTTTAGTTTTCATATACGATTCCTAATCTTATTTTCTTGAAAATCAATAGCTATTGCGCCTATCGTTACTTTGTCAGTTACATGAAATATTAATAGAGAACTCCTTATAATAATAATATGAACAAAAAG